AAACTACCGTCACCCCCTCCCCTGAGCCCTACCCTGAGCCCTCCATGTAGCCCTCTCTGTAGCCCTCCCCGCCTTTCCAGGAAAGCTTCCTTCATTCCGAAAACACATACTTTTTTTGGTACCTCTAACAAGGCTCCTGCCACCTCTTGACATATCAGTAGCTCCCTTGTTGCGGGCATTGACAGTATGTAAGGTGTATTAACGGCTGTCTTGCTGTCTTGCGTGGAAAGGAGACAAATGCTAAATCTCTGGTGAGCTTTCCCAACTCTGTGCATCCTTCATAATCATGTTCTGGAGCTGATCAAGATCAAGCAATGCAGCAAAAATACAATGGAAGACTTGCTTTGATTTATTACCACTAATGGTCAAATCGACGTAATACATATATCAATGCCTGAGTAGGTCATATCCTTGAATCATTATTTATTTTAACCAATATCTATCGGTAAGTGTGCTATGGCAAAGAAAATGCCATCAAATTTTCATTGTTAAACAAACTATACAAAACATTTGTACAGAAGGTATTGTATATCTGATATTTGATTTGAGATAATTGCAGATCTAGTTAAACCACCAATATTTTTTCCATTGGCTGATGTACTGTATGTAAACATAACATTCCAATGATTAATCTGAGTATTTGGTGTCATCATTCTTTTGCAAATGATGACAATTTGCTTGATTTGTGAAAGCAAAGTTTCTGTTTTTATTTGTAGTATGACAGTAAAAGTATGCACATTCTAGTTGCCTCTTACGGGTCAGCACTTGCTTAAACCAGATTTGTATCAAATTATTTGAATGCGCACTCTGCGTTTTGTTTAATGATCAATTCATTTCCACATGTGGGGTGGATCACCCTTTCAACTTGAGTTGGTTTTCAAATTTTCAAAGGGATTTTTGTAGGAATATCTTGTGGTCTTAAAGTTTCTAGAAAACCCTTTCTAGAAAACACACATGATTGATAGAACAGTAAATGGGGAACAATGCACCAGAATGGCATAATCATCCGTGAGGCTAGCTGTCCGCCCCGCCCCCCTCCTCAAACCGCAGATGAAGTCAGGTGAATGGCCTTAGTGAAGATGGCAGATCGAGAGGTATAGATAGCAGTTGTTGAGGGTAGCTGAGATGGGGGGAAATGAAGCTGGTCATAATGAATTGAGACAAATTGATCTCATTGAGTAAGGAGTTGGGCTCTCTGATTGTTTTAAAGGTAGAGAGAAGGCTGTCATTGGTCGATTTCATATTATACTAATGTATTGAGATAGGGAAGGGCTGTCAGTGAGAGATGGTGGAGGGAGAGACAGGGAAGAGTAAGAGATAGAGAGAGGGAGAATGGGGGAGGAAGTGAGAAGGGTAAATGGTCCAAAGAGAGAGAGAGAGAGAGAGAGAGAGAGAGAGAGAGAGAGAGAGAGAGAGAGAGAGAGAGGGGAGACAGAGAGACAGAGAGAGAGACAGAGAGACAGAGAGAGAGAGACAGACAGATGGACAGAGAGAGACAGACAGACAAAGAGACAGAGAGAGACCGACAAAGAGAGACAGAGAGAGAGACAGACAGACAGAGAGAGACACACACAGAGACAGACAGACAGACAGAGAGAGAGAGTGAGAGAGCAAGAGAGAGAAAGAAATATAGACAGAGGAGGTGAGAGAGGTGGGGAGAGGGAATATTATGTTCATAGGGTCTATGGAGAGACACAAAGACAGACAGAAACTAGTGATCGAGGGAAGGGAGAGGGGAAAGGAGAGGGGAGAGAGAGGTGGAGGTGGGAGAGACGGAGAGATAAGTTATACAATGTAGCATGATTCAGAGAGAGAGGGGGAGGATAGACACAGACCTCTAGAGACAGTGAAGGGGGCGGGATGAGAGGCGAGGGAAGAAAGATATGAGACAGATGACGGACTATCACATGTGTGTTATGCAGTGAGATGTAACTGTCATGTTGTCTTCCGAGTATATGAGATCAAACGCATCACTCCCACAAATTATGATAAAGGCTAGAAGAATTCTTTAGCCATGTGTTATATAAACTTGTCATCTTCTGTTCACAATGCACCGGCTCTAGCATGGCACCAAGCCACGTCTTTGGGGGGTGTTTCACGAAACTTGTCATCAGTGACAAATGTTATAAGCGACTGCCTTGCTTCTGATTGGTTATCAGCAGAATTTTGTCATTTGTCATTGAAAAAGGGTTTTATGAAACGGGTCCTTGGTCTCTGACGCTGTCGTGATGAATCAGAAAAAATGCCTCTGATGTTCTGTTAGCAAAGAAAAAAAGTTCGGGAGTCGTTTGTTGTTCTGTAAAGGCAACAGAAAGCAGTAGTCAGGAAAGGAAAGGAAAGTACAGCTCTGCGGTTTGAACACCGACAACAATTCATCACCAGAATATATTCATCTTAAATAGACAGAAAGAGGCACACACACAGGGATACTTTCAATTTAAGCAGCCAGCATGTACAGCTTATGGTTAGTTGATAGGAAAGATGTGGTTTCTTAGGCAGCTGCCCCCCCCCCCCCCTCCCCAGAAAAAGATGATGGATAAACCCCCATTGGGTGAGGTTAGAAGCTGCTGCATTTATTTGGAAAAGCAATATGAATCATGTAATAACTCATATGTCATGTGGAATAAGCGCTGTGTAGGAGGAGACCTAGCCTTACAGACCCGGGCACTGCCCTCATTTGTTATGAAGAGAGTAATTGAAAAAAATATGAGAGATTTTGAGACAGGCTACCCTCTGCACTACTTCACACATACCTACATGTACACTGTATGGCAAATTGAATCTGTACTTTAATTCAACCCCAAGATGTAGACCACCTTATTGATGAATCTGACCAGAATTTTACCAACTCTGTAGATGAAAACAATTTGCAAATATTATTTATTGCTATGTCTAGCAAGCCTCTGGCAAGCTTTTAGGTCATCAACAGTAGCATTTGTTCACTGAATTTGCTTATAAGTAAAAATCAGGTCTATTGGAATAACATTCGTTTGTTACATGAAATAGAAAATGCTCATTAGCTGCAAAATGTTTCATTTTGAGAGAAACTGGATAGAACAGGATTTGAGTTTTAAAAACTTGTAACGTTAAGTGTACAAAAATAATACTTGACAATTGAGAGAAAAAAAAGAAGCTTTCTTCCAAGGACTGTCTGAAACTTCCATAGGACAATGGGCATTTGTATGATAATGATTCTGTCCCCCGATGAGCCTCAAAATTGGCAGCCATTCAATGCTGTAAGGGTCAGTAGAAAAGCGAACTCTCTGAGAGACAAGAGATGTACTAAAACGGAAGGTCACTGTACAAGACGACAGCAGTTAAACACCAAATGTGTATGAATAGTGTGGATTATGAAAAGTGCATCTGGCTTAAACTATTTCTTTATTTGTGATGAGTCTTACCACCATTAATCATTGGCGATTGAAAACTTGTGATTATTTATGGAGATATATAACTGTACCTGTGAATAGGTACAAGCCTGCTGCTTTTCATCAATTGGTGTTAGAGAAAAATATTAGTTGGGGAGCATACTAGTATTGAACAACCTGACAAATATTACTTTGATTTAAATATGCTATTAGATGTAGAATACACTTTATTGTCTTGACTCCAATCTATGTATTGTTGTGGATGAAACAATGATGATTATCTGGTTGTTTCAGTACATTTCTTGGGTTATGTTGCAAGTTTAGCAGCGGTTTTCTTGGATTCTTTTACTATGAAAGATATCATATAGGCATTTGAATAAACATTTTCGTCAAATTTTGTTCCATATCATATACCATGTTATGTTGCATTCAAAGATTTTCTGTCTTTTTCAATATGTTCTTGAACTCTTGCTCCTGACTGCTTTTCATTTAATACTGATGGTTAGTTGGTTACACTTGGTATCATAAATGACTTGAATCCACCTTTTTTCCCATGAAGATGATGATGATGATCCACAGCATTTAAATGGCACCATTTATCTGTTACAAACAAATTCAAAGGCGCCCGCTCCTCCAATAGTCATGGACTTCACATTTGCTTTAAATGATGAAAGTCCTATGTCTACAATCTTTTACTTTTACATAATCCTTTATCTTCTAATTCTTTTCTCTTCCTTTTACTTTAATGTCCTAGAGCATTCTCCTATATTGTTTGCTCTTTCCATCCCTCTAAGGATCTATCGTTGGTGTAGATTCCCCGTAATCAAATAAAAGATAGAGATTGTTTGCACGAGAGAGAGGGAGGAAAAGATTGAAACCGTGATAATTAAGTTAACCTTTTTCACACCAAGACAACTCCACACGATGCATTTGAGATCTATTTACAAGTATGATCTACCAGGGTACTCACTAGAAAAAACACTGCTGTTGGAGTTACGTAAAGAGATGGAGAGGTTCATGTCATAATGAGGGGTTGTTCAGAGGACAAGCTCTTTTTTTTTTACTATCTTCTGATTGTACATGTATCCAGTACAGTTTACTAGGAATAGTATATGTGCTGTTGTAAATATCAACATGATATTCAAGATTTCGTCCTTGTTTTCACGAAGTGACGGTAGTGAGGAAAATCGTAACGCAAAGTGAATGCAATTTTTTTTCACTACCGTCACTTCGTGAAAACAGCGACGATTTTTCCTTTTAAATTGTGTTGTTGTTGATGATTTGTTAATAGTTGGCAGCTTTCCCTTTCAATTTGTTTTAACCTTTTTTTCTTCTTCTGAATATGGAAAGTAATGCTCTCTTTTTCTCAATATACCTATTTTTTTAACATTTTCACATTGTTATTATTAGTAGTATCATTTATATACGGTGCTTTTCCCAGAGCGGCCAAAAGCGCTTACAATAAGGAGAATCCTCCAAAAAAATGAAAATGAAAACTTCAAGAAGTCATTTTTTTTTATTTTGGAAACATTGCATGTAACCAAATAACTTTATGGTTTCCCAATATTGAGCTTTGCTTGCAATACCAGATATTTAATCCGACTTCATTTTTTAATTATTTCATTCTTGCAGGTAAACCACATGTGCAATACCAGTTAGACAGTGCCATGCAGGGCGTCAACGACATGTTCGTCCTTTTGGAGGAAGCAGAGAGGAATGCTTGCCGTAACGCTCTCATTGAGGAGAGGAGTCGATTCTGCACTCTGGTCGGGTTCCTCGGGCCAGTCGTGGTGAGTACCTCAATCTCTCATTTCATGCTTTGACTTCTGTGATCAGGGGGTGTTTCACAAAGATCTTAAAGGGAGTCACGCGTCAGTTTCCAAGTGCAGAAGGCCATAATTCGCTGACACCAGACTTGGTGGAAAAACCATTAATGGGAGGATAAATCTGCACACATCTAACCCGTTGGCCAGTCAAGAATTACCCCCTTATCTCTCGGAGAGTCTAGCTTCGGATCCAGCTTCGGATCGGGTGAGGGAAAAGCAAAGCCTTACATAAGGGCGAATGATCATAAAACTCAAGGCTAACCCTGGTGATTGACAACTTCTGTTATTGGGTAAACACCTGAACGGTGTTGAATTCCCCCTGAGAGCTAACTACTGAGTGTCTTTAAGTTGAACTTATCTCCAAGTTGGACTTACCAATTATGGAACCGAGGTGAAAATGAGCATTATAAGGAAGGAAAAAAAAAAAGAGCAAAATAATATTACTCTGATATTATTCAGTTTTGACCAACTGTCGTAGAATCTGTAGATTTGGCAAATACAACAATAAAGTGTCACAATAGGCGGTGTCACACAGAGGCCAAAAATCCGGATTGTAGTTATCCTCTTAATTGCTGTCTGTCATCAATTATCCCATTAAAAAACCTCTAACAAAGCAAGAAAATTCTCCCTTAAAAGGATTTTTCAAGGGATTTTTTAAGGGATTTTTCTGTGTGACATTGCCTATTCTTGAAAAGATTTTTTAGAAGCCCAGATTGTGAGAGAAATCATTTCATATTTCTTCTTTTTATTTTCCAGGAGGATGAGATCTCCATGCTATCAGAGGTTACCCATCTTCAGACCGTCATGGAGGACCTGAGCGCTCAGAGCAAAGACCCTCACATCCTGCCCCCGGTCAGCGAACAGGTCATCCATGATATGAAGGGTCAAGATGCCCAGTGGTCATATGTAAGTCCAGATTTGTAAAAACTTTCATTGGATGATGAAATTATGAAGAAGATGAAGAAAAACTAATTAAAGATGTTCATGCATCGGTATATAGTCATTCATGAAGTAGGCAATTTGGCGATCACTACATAACGCTGAGCCAACGGGTATTACGCTCCTGTGCGTACGTCCGTGTGCTGCCCTCTATATACCGACGCATGAGCAACTTTAAGTAATAGCATTATGGATCATCAAGGATGGCTTTTGATTTCTAATTGTAGAGGTTTCATGATAATGTGGTTCATTCACTTGACTCTCCTTCCAAGGGTTTAGGGTTCAAATCCCGGCCTGCCAATAATGTCCTTTGGCAAGACGTTAATCTGCATTTGCCACTCTTCACCCAAATGTAAATTGATACCTGGCAATTGCTGGTGGTAACGATAATAATAATAGTTGCAGGGTCAACATGAAGAACAGCATTGATACTGATGGTGCTTCCCTTGGTATCTCAAATGTCTAATTTCCGATTTCTAATTTTCTGATTTTCAAATTTTCTAATTTCCAGTTCCCAGTTTCCAATTTCCAATTTCCAAATTTCAAATTCCAATGTTTTTAATTTCAATAACTATTATTGTGATGTAATCTCTTTGAAATATCTTAAACATTAATAGTGATGGTGATCATTAGCATACCGGATTGGATTTTACCATTTTCCAGCAAGGCAGAAGGCTCTGGAATATATTTATCTCTGTAAATGAGAGTCTTGAAAAAACCAAGGATTCATTTATTAATCACATTCATATGTACCAAAACAGTTTACAAATCGCCCCAAAAATCTGTTAAGCCCCAATGTTCTACTTGTAACTACTCGCTCCATCTACAATGTATATAGGTAACAGTGCCAAAGCGGTGCCTGTTGGTCCCCCATGATCCTCTTTTTCTTATGTTAATTGCGAGCTGAGTTGATAAGATAGCCAGCCACCTGTCAGTGACCACGCTGGGTGGTCTAATTCCTCCTGGCCAAACTAGTACAGACATGCTTTAAAATGAAATTTCATGCAAAGCTTTGTAATTCTAAAAAACCCAATCCTTATCATTTACTGCTGTGCAGACTCCACCAAGTTCCCCAACCCCTTCGACCGGCTCCCGCAAGTCCAGCATGTGCAGCATGAGCAGCCTGAACAGCTCCGACTCCCGCTCCAGCGGCTCCATGGCCTCGGCCCACTCCAACCCCAGCACCGGGGGACCCAATGGCTCGTCCCTGCACAGCTACCACCGGCACCGCAGCCTCTCGCAGCCAGGCAACCCTGCCTGCCGTCTCTCCAGCGTGTCGTCGCAGGACTCCGGTTTCACCTCCCAGGACACGCTCTTCACCCGGCCGGGATCGCCCCCGTCGTCATCGTCGACCAGCAGTGGGGGGAGCCAGGCACCGCAGCAGCTGCCTCCCCTGAGGGTGGAGGAGGACGGCGATCCGGTGGACGAGACCATGGCGTACAGTCTGATGCTGCAGATGGCTAACGAGTATGCCCAGGTAAATTGTTGGTGGTTTACTGTACTTATATCTCCCAGTGAAGATAGATTTAAAAAGTATAATTACTTCACAAATATGTGGTGGTGGTTATTTTACCTGGCTGATAAGAAAGCATAAATGCTTGTGAGTAAGCAACCAGATGGCTGACGGCTTTAGGTCCTCTCCAAATAGTAGTGTTGATGTCATTTATTTTCTTTCTTGAAGGTTAGCTTGAGAAAATTTCAGTAGAGATGGAAATTGTTATGATCAGAAGATTAATGTTTGTTACTTTATGTATGTTTTTCAGAGTCTGTTTTCTTCCGACACACTCACAGTTTAATGTGGTGTGCCTGCAGTGTATATTTACATTATTGTGCTGTTTTAGTCAAAGCTGGAGTGTCTGCTTTGCCCCTCCTGTACATATATATCATGTATGGCCATATCCCTGGGAGAGGCCTTAAACCTGTCGATCCTCAGGTTGCTTACTTACAAGCATACACATGCTTTCATAGCAGCAGGGTAAAAGAAACCAAACAAATATCTCTTTATGATCTTAGTTTGATTGAATGATTAGGTAAGCATTGTGAGTATTATTTCTTGATAAATTATACCTAACATTTAATACTTCTGGTTTTTTTTACTTCTCCAAACAGCATGGTAGATTATCCTCCAGTGACCAGTCCTCCAGTGAGTGCAGCACCCCGTCCTCCTCCCCATCCCCAGCCTACCCCGCCCCTCCCTCCTCCCAGATGGCCCCTACCCCGCCCTGGTTAGAGAACAAGCTCCCCGCGGCCATCATCTCCACCACACCCTCTGTGCCGGGTCCTAAGAGGCAGCCCAAGCCGGTGCCCACGCCCATGGTGTCCTTCATGAAGCCCCCGATGAAGGGCGAGGGGAGCGGTCAAGCGCCCCTCAAGAATGGAAAGACGGGTAAACAAGCCCTGCCCGATTTCAACATGACCCAGCCCAACCAGAGTAAGCTTGGAAGAGATTTCTTCTTTATTTTAAAGTAGTCACCCGAAAAAAAATTCATGACAACTGATAATTATGGACAAATTACATATGGATGGAAAGATTTTCTCTTTGAAAAACACAAATAATTTGCTAAAAAATGATATAGATATCATGGAAAAGCGTTAAAAAAGACATGTTGTGGCTAGCTGTGCCTCGCATGTGACGTCAGGAATCTTGACGCTCTATGAAGGACCGCTGAAGGCAGAAAATCTGGATCTCAAAATGAACATTTTGAGAGATGATTACTGTGAGCCCCAAACATATTTTGAAGAGGGAACTTATATTTTATCACTAAGGCTTCCTCTTCGCTATTATATGAATTTTGCGTTAATCCAAAACACTTTCAATTTTTCGGGTGACTATGTATGTTGCCCATGGCCTGTGACGGACAGTTCAAAGTTGGTGCAACCATCATGAAATGTGTTGCAATAAGCTTCAAGCAAGTCATGCAGTTATCATGAAAATTCGCATGACTGTGTACTGTGATGTAATAAATAAATATTGTGTGTGTAGTGGTGGTTATTTTACCTCACTGCTAGTTAGTAAGCAACCAGAGGATCAACGGCTTTGTGTCCTCTCCATAAGACCTGGTAATTAGGATCAATGCCTTACCAAAGGGAACTAGCGCATCGCCTTGGTTTCGAACCCGGGTCGCCTGATTACGAGACCACTACTCTACCAACTGAGCTATCGCGCCTGTGAAATCTATTTACTGTAACAGTTGATTATTTAAACTTTGCACTGATTTTGTTTCCCTTCAGTTGTGCCTCAACCCTTGTCTTCAACCAATGGAACTGACCAATCAAAAACGCTTCCTACAAGACGCACTTCTCAAGTAAGTTTTCTACATAAACAGTGTGGATCTGTTTATACTGAAACATCCCAAATGAACGAAGGAATATAGGATCTTATTGAAATTTATTCCAAGTTTCCAAATGATTTTCAATTTCATACAAGTGGTTTTTTTCTTTCAGCTCTAAAGTTTTGGTTTATGGGTGTCCTCTAGGACCAAATCCTGGGTACTGAATTAGAAGGAAGGGAGTTATGATGTGATGTGATTCTTATAATATAAATTTCCTGTGAGGAAGGGGGAGGGGGGGGGGGGGGGGGGGGGGGGGGTTGTCAGCTATTTTCCAATAATCCAATTTGATGTCTCTATCAAGCTTTGAATAATACTTGTAATTAATTTTTGTATCAATCTTATCACTTATAAATAATTTTGGTATAAATCTTTTTAAATATCATACCACACATATCTGTATAAATCTTTTAGAATATCATTTTTATCACATTTAAGATTGGTAATCTTTGTACAATGAAGATGATTTATATATATATATATATATATATAACGATCAAATAAAACCAAAGAAAAGTGACCACATTTATAAAATTGCGATCAAAAGTGTTTTGCACCTGTATATATCAGGTATGTACAAATAATTATCCCCTTTATTGTATAGATTCCATACCACGGTCAAAAATTTTAAATATAATTTTGTATTTATTTTTATTTTTATTCAGGGTTCCTCTCCTCTGGGCCTAGAGGCAGCCCTGGCCCTAGGTGAGGCGGAGAGAAAGCTGGAGGTAGACCCGATCTACGCCACACCCGGACCAGCCAGGAGCAAGCCCTCCAAGCTGGATGTGGCTCCAAACATGACCCCCATGAGCCAGAGGTCAGCAGGGTCAAGCGGGTACGGCACTCAGGCCAGCTCTCCAAATACGTCCAGTGACACGGTCAACTCATCAGGTATGTTGTCTGAAACTTCTATATGTGACTGGTCGTTTTACCTCTTTCTCTCTCTGGCTCTATTTTCTCTTTGCCCTTTCCCTGTCATTTATTGTGATATTTCTGCATGACTGCCGTCCCTTTTGCTATCTCTTTCATATTCTCTGCACATCCATCTCTCAATTGTCCCCCTGAATTTCTCCTGAATTTCTCCTGAATAGCTGTAAATTTGGTGATTTCATAAATTTATATTATATTGGCGTAAGCATATTTCAACTCATCAGGTATATTGTCTGAATCTTTAAGAGGTGACTGGTCGTTATTCCCCTTTTCTATGTTTCTGTGTACCTCTTTCTCTTTCTGTCTCTATTTTCTCTTTCCTCTTTCCCTCTCATTTATTGTGATATTTCTGCATGACTGCCATTCTTTTTCTATCTCTATCATATTCTATGCACATCCATCTCTCAAATGTCTCCCTGAATTTCTCTTGAATATTCCTGAATAGTTGTAAATTTGGGGATTTTACAAATTTATATCAATAATATAATGGAATGTAATGAAGATGTAAAAAAAGAAAAGGAACAATGTTTATCATGAGGAAAAGATCGACATAAGCATATTTCTTGTGTTATGTCTCCATTACAATGTCTCACTATACCTAACTGTACATTTTGTACCATTGATTTTGTTTAGCATTTGAACTTGATAAGTTTTGCTAATATTTTCTTGTGATGTGTGATATTCAATCTTTGCCTTTTCATTTTCTGAATACTCCACAGAATACGATCCTTACTCACTCTGTGACAGTAACATCAACTATCCTGACATCAGTAAGTCAGCCACTCTACCGCGGCACTTCAATCCAGCCTCGATCTTTCAAGTTGTATCGACAGCCTCGTCGTCATCGTCTTCTTCTTCGTCCTCCTCTTCCTCCTCGTCCTCCTCCTCAACGGCTTCGACCCCTCACTCTCAGATGCACCGCCGTCACTCCTCTATCGGTGCCTTCACCAACAACGACATGTCCATCCACGGTACCGTGCGCCGCAGGAAACCGCCGCCACCAATCCGGAGGACGCCGTCCGGTAACTCGCTCTCGTTCAGCCTTACAGAGTCAAACAGCGCGCCGCAGTTTGATGCGTCAGGCAAGTTCAAGGTGCCCCCTCCTACGATGGCGCCAGCGAAAGATACCCCAGCCAAGGTGGGGCGCAGCATGAGTCTGAGGGTGGGGAGCGATATGGCACAGGATATGAGTAGGATTGCTTTGAAGGAAAGCCTGGATGCCAAGCTGGCCGAGCGTCGGAACTCACCCAGGACACCGCCAGGGGAGATCGGCAACAAACAGCCAGTCTTTACTGTTGGTAGCAACGGTCAAAGTGTGTTAGATGGACCATCGCAATATGGCATGACAACGCCAGGGTCGAGGCATAGTATTGCCCATCCCCCTTCGTCTTTTCAACAACAGTCATTTGCTCAGCAGCAACAGCAGCAGCAACAACAAGAACTGCAATATCATCTACAACTCCAACAGCAGAAGCACCAACAGCAACTTCAGCAACAGCAACTCCAGCAGCAACAACTCCAGCAGCAGCAACAACAGCCACAGTATCAACAACAACAAAATCAGCAACAACAACAAATGCAGTCCGTGCCACAGCAGCAACACTATATGCAGAATCAGTACCAGCAACAACCACCACAACAGCAGCAGCAGCAACAACAGGCTCAACAAAACCACTATCAGACTCTGCCCCAGCAACCCCAAACTCTGCAGGGGCAGCAGCCCCCTCCCCAGCAAGGTTATGGCTACACCTCACCCAATGGTAGATGTATACCCCAACCCCCCTGTTTCGACCCCCCTACTCCACCCGCTCAGGGGAGTCCCCTCCCCCCTCCACCCATGTCCATGCTGTCCACTCCCTCCCCCCAGCAGCTGCAGCATCATCAGGCAGCTCCGGTAGAAAGCGAGTCGGAGGAGGAAGAGGAGACGGGCGTCGGGGCCATGGCTGAAATCAGACGGGGTGTCGTGCTGAAAAAAACTGTCGAAAGGAATGATCGCTCGGCGCCAAGGATATCGTCTCCTTAAAGAGACACCAACATAGTAAATTTGCATAGATGAACAGTATGATTGAGCCATGAGAAGCAAAAAGAGCCATGACGTATCAAAGGACCATGACGTATCCAAAGGACCATGATGTACTTTGTTGTTTGTTCTTGATGCATTTAAAAAAAAAATCACTGTGGAATAATACACAGCTTAAATGCACATTTAAATGCACATGTTTAGCTCGAATTTTCTTGTAATGTCATCTAACCCTGACGCATTGCTTCATTTTCCAATTGGTGTTTACAATATGTTGTGCCCTACTTCATGTATGTGGCATTGCGATAGTAATGTGTGTGTGTGTGTGAATTGAATGAATCATTTCACAGTTGCACAGTCGTTCAATGACAAATACATATGTAACTTAACAGGGAGAATATACCAAATACTTTATTGAAAGGAATCTTTTGATTTGGTTAGACTCAATGCCTTTCAGAAAACTCCTTTCTTGAAATAACGATAACAACTCGCTTTAATGGAAGTAGCTGTTGGCTCTGGACCTACATTTCTTTTAACATTTGGAAACACAAGCCAAAATAGTCATGCATGTACTCGATAAACCAAAGATAATTTAGGAATATACTTATTTGCTCTCGTTCCCTTCAAAGTAGGTCTACCGGTACTCATTTATCTTTCTAGTTTTGAAGGGACTGCACTATCATCAACTCGTTATTTATTCAGGGACAAATATAATGGTGCATTTATTTTAAAAGTCATACTCCCTTTTCCAAAGTTATGCAAATCAATTTTGAAACATTGGTGCATTTTTCCCCCTTTCTTATCTTATATCCTATACTGAAATATTTTGTTTTTAGGCGTAGTTGATTTAAAGACATTCAATCCCTTTTTATAACATTCTTGTATACATCAGTTTTCTTCTAATTTTATCCATCCATAACCATTCTAATTTCTTGGAGATAACAAAAAATTGTTTCTTTTTGTGTGTTTAATGGTGCTCTGATGATTATAATCAATCAATCAATTATATTAATTCAGAATATTTTAATCATTCTTTAATTCGTATTAAACAGATCAAGAGTCTGAATATCTTGCCTAGCAGTGCATTGCTTCTTGCATACATGTACATGTATATGCATTCTGCTTCTATTTATATAACATCATTCATTGCAACTACAAATATGAAAACAGTTACGTATAGCCTGCTTTAGATAATGTTATAGTAGAGGGACGGGAATGAGGAAAAATTGGTATTAGTTTCTTCTTTTAATGATAATAATAAAAATAGTCTGTTCTTGTATAGCATAATGCTTAGTCTCTATGCGCTTCCAAAGAGCTTCGGCTTTAGCTTTTTCTCCGGCTACCGATATAGGCGCACAGTGGATTTCAAGGTATAATCCTACCAGGTACCCATTGACTTCACCTGGGTTGAGTGTGGCAAATGAAGATCAATGTCTTGCATTGAAGCCAAAGAGACCTATCAAGTTTAGAGAGTCAGACATCAAAATCAACTGAGTTCCTGGATGATCTTGAATTGCTCATCTTTATGCGATGATCGTGTGTGATATTGGGTTAGATCGTAAGACAGGACTAATGTATATCGCTTGCAATTTAAACTCTTCAGACTTGCAGTGTCTGATTGAGATATATTATTGTTTCAAAGAGCACTGATCAAAACTACATGTATGGTTCATGCTAGCATGGTAAAAAGAACAAGGCAGAGAGATATGAAGAGGCACTTCACTGCTCTTCAAAACCCCAACATGTGGATGGTATCCTGGCCCGATACAGTACCGTATGTTGTGAGAAAAAGCACTATAATGAAACTAGGGTATTACAGAGACCCATTACAGCATCACTGAGTCACAGACATGGACTCTGTTTAAGATAATGTCTGTTTGAAGCCAGCATGGTGTTAACTCATGTCTTTTAACACAGAATAAGGCCCTTTTGGCTCTAAACAAGTGATATTTTACTATCAATCTGTTTTATTTGACAATCATGTTGAAATTACCATTAGTTTATGTAGCATTGATTAAGGTTGGCCAGTAAGATGGATGTTATAAGAGATGTTGATTGTGCAGCCGTAGAAGTCTGCTTTAATAATAGGAATGTATAGATATTGTAGTTACAGCAATAGCAGCCAGGTCATTGGTTGAATGTAACAATGGTATAGAGGGCACTCATCATGTAAATCAAAAGGAGAGAAATTGGTATTTATTTTGTGAGAGAAGCTCTAGGATGGAGACGGTCATTTTTTTGTGTGATGATATATTTTGTATGTACAGTGCAATGTGTTGACAGCTCGAAGGCTGCGGAGGAAAGGTTTATACAGTTTTGAATACATCATTTTCGTTGAGAGCCGTAAGGACGTTAATGCTTATCCTGCGTTACTGCCCTTCCTGCTCTCAAGAAACTATATCTTGCGAAATTTTGTATTTGATTGGATTGGATGAGCTGGGTTTGAACACCCCATGGTTTTGGGACCATTGTTTTGTTGGAAGATATCAAATGAATTGGATCATTGGTTTTAGGACCATATAGCACGAGTTGGATCGTGTATGTTGTTTGTATGGAAGTAGGAAACTGAAATTGTGTTGAGGTATTCAAGAAATGGTTAACTGCTGATGAAGGAAACATTAGTTATTTTGCGTTGCAGCCAGTCGACCATAAACAGTAGACTCGTGTGTACTGCCCACATTTTGCCTGCATCCTCATGAATTATTACTTAGATAAATGTAGTTGTATCAACTTGCTTTTTTCTGTAGGTTAACATGTGTTCATTTCTGACTGCCCTTTCAAAAAGAGCGAGATTTTGTAGAGCTTTCTTTGTAATACTATGATATTCACTATACAACTTGCTTTAATCAACTGCCCCTGTCGCCATTTTAAAGTGGTAAACAGTTATCAAGTATTTGACTAGGGAGGTGTCACTTATGACGTCACCTGTGCCTGGGAGGTGAAAAGCAAACTTAATCTGTATTGAACCCTCAAGGTTTCTCCTCCCCAGTTTAAACTCCTTGGGATGTGCAAGTGGAACGAATGCACTAGGTTTTCTGGTAATCCTTTTACGAATAGTGCAGTTGATTTTTTTAAAACCATACATAGGTATGATGATGACTGCCCTACACACAGGGCCTCCATTTAACGTCCAATAGTATTGTTAAAGGTAAAGACCAGTTATGGTCATGCGATTGCATTGTGAAAGAAACGTTGTGGAATCGATCAGAAAAGGTTGATCATCTAGCATCTAGCATCTGCAAGGTTCTGGAATCTTCAAAATGATAAGAAATTTGGCCCATTCTTCGTAAAGTTACAAGCACTATACACAGAAAGATGTATATGGGACTACCCTATATCTCTCACAGACCATGAGAGAAACAAATTTACCAAATATATGAATTAGTAGGCGGTTTCCCGGCAAATTTTTTATCATCATGTATTAGTCAAAACATATTCTTTCACATGATTGGTAATGAGAGCTTCCATTTTATTTTTTGAAATTGGGGCGTTTCCAATACTGGTCTCTACCTTTAAAACTCCTTTCTTCTGTCAAAACCTGCACAGGTGCAAGTGTATAGCTTTCAGTTTGATGAAGTTTTAAAGTGACTGCCTATTGTCTAAAGCTCAAAGTGATATACAGTGGTAGTACATGTAGTATTGTGTTTTATCCGATACTGTGTTATTCTTGCACAAATGAAAATTAGTGTGACTAAAATAGTTGATGAGCTGCTGGGTTTTCTTTTCCATATTTTCCATCAAACTGACCAAAATGTCCGTCGTTTTCACATAGGATGTGGTATGCAGGGTCGCCTTGTAGGTTTCCAAGTACATGTTCATTGTCGAGCATTCCATTGGAGAAGGGTTGAATTAAATTGTTTAGTCGGTAAACCCCTTACAGTGACGTACAGAAACACAGTCACAACTGACATTCATCAGTATGTATATGAAAAGCTTTTGTATGAAAGACCATTATCAGTAATGCAATGTTGTTACTGTAAAGAGGCATTTCCATGTCTTATATTGTATGAGTGACCAACTGGAAATGCCTTGTGACTTTTAAACAATAACATAAAAATTGACATTTGTGTCATTGTTACATGTGCTGGCAAAACTTGCAGAGGTGGAGAATACATACATGTAGTTGTTGTCTATTTCCCCAACTGCATTTGTTTGAGGTTTGGCTGAAAAAAAAATGGATTAAGATAAAGCTTTTTGCTTGTTCTTGCTCTAATGTATGAAGATGGACTTGCATCAAGAAAATAAGCTTACCGATGTTGCTGTACTGATAGGGCATTTTTATGAGAGAAGTTTGTAGACAGATTCATGCAAAGAAAGTCAGCACTCTTGCTTAGGGTGGTACTTTGCTGGTTGAAGGCTTTCTTACATCGTTGCTCTTGATGTTAATAGTAAGCAAACAAACATAATAATCTAACTTAAAAACAAGACAGGTTGTACTCTAGCATTCAAGGCAAGCTGATTGTGGTTTTGAGAGGAAAAGGTTCAACCAAAATGACCTGTTGAATTAGATATAAAGCTATCGTAGCAATGTGATCACAGTATTGATGATAAGTGATTATTTTTGTTGGGGTTCAAGGAGCTAATGCACTTCTTTCACTATTTGATAATTTTAGGATAGCTAGATGTCCAATGCAACTGGAAGTAGGCTTGCATTCATTAACAATGAATTCATGTTAAGTAAAATAATGAAAAGTAATATATTCAGACAATGTTTCTCAGTTGACATAACATAAGTGTTGATGAGGCAACTTAATTTAGGATATTTAACTGAAATGGAGTGGCTTCTGTATACACAGGGCCAGTCTTAGAATAGAGGTGACAGAAACTAACCAAATTGACAGAATTGGGACTGCTTCCCAGAATATTCCTCTAGTGGTAGTAGGACATTACACCATATCTATTAACATTTAACTAATGCCGTTATGGTCCCTAGAAACACAGTGGATTTCTTACAAATGGTAATCTGGACGTCTAACAAACTCATGGGAGTGTGATTGTTATGAATTGTTTGCCGAGAGCTAAATGGGCGTTAGCGCTGTATTGAAAGATACACGTGTATGCCCCTCTGTTTCTCAACAAATATGGTCGTGTGAATTATTTTCATGTATTTAGCGAATATGTTTCAGAAATGTGCTATGAATTTCATTGTAGATATTACATCTGTATGTAGAATAATTTGTTTCTTTGGAAAGCTTATGTAAGATACTCTTTATTTAATTTATATTACTTTAGCTGTGGTAGGTAACATTATATTATAGTATTTTCAAGATGAGAATAAAGCATGATTTGACTGGAGGTTAATGACTTGTATGAGAAGTGTGTTTCAGTGATTTGAAGAAAGTAAATTTATGTACAAAGAAGGAAAAAATAATAATTTTGAACAATGTGATGGTCTCTTTTGTAGAGTTCTTCCAAAATTGCAATGCTTTCTATGAGAAATTTTAAGATGATGTATAGTTTAGATGAAAGAAAATATGAAAAGTAACTAGAAACAGCTAGCTAGAAGTTGTCTGATGTTTTTTTGTTTTCCTTTTTTTATACCAGCATCATCATTCAAATGTTTGATTTTAATTTAAGTGTGTTTTGTAAAAGCACGTAAGCGATTCAAATAGCGATCTTGCTAACATGTACAATGTGTTTGTGCAGCAGTCATAGATTCTTGATGTATTGGTTATGGTACTATGCAAGTTTGCATTTCAAAAGTACATTGATGATTTACATGTATGCGTTACTGTATTGAGACAGTGATCTGTAACCATATGTTTTTTTCTTTTCAAGAGTGAACCGTGTCAGTACATTAATGAAAAGCTGGAATTACAAGCTAAGATGATTAAATAAATGAAGAAAAAAAAAATCTTGTTTTCAATTATCAAGCACTACAATCTCTGATTAGTTTTGTGATTTTTGGCTGGATTTTGAGGAGTAATTTGTTTGGGAGAGTGATAGCTGGTACGATGATATGATCTCCTCGCAAAAAAGAAAGAAGAAAAGACCAAGAGGGGGATTGAGAGAGAGAGAGAGAGAGAGAGAGGGGGGGGGGGAAGTAAAAGGGAGATATATAGACAGAGGAGGTGAGGGAGAGATAGAGGGAGAGAGAGGGGGAGAGGGAGTGGGAGAGGGAGGGGGAGAGGAAGATGGAGAGGGAGAGGGAGAGAGAGGGGGAGAGGGAGTGGGACAGGGAGGGGGAGAGGAAGATGGAGAGGGAGAGGGAGAGAGAGGGGGAGAGGAAGATGGAGGGAGAGAGAGGGGGAGAGGGAGAGGGGGAGAGGGAGAGGGAGAGGGAGAGAGAGGGGAGAGGGAGAGGGGGAGAGGGAGAGGGAGTGGGACAGGGAGGGGGAGAGGAAGATGGAGAGGGAGAGGGAGAGGGAGTGGGAGAGGGAGGGGAGAGGAAGATGGAGAGAGAGGGGGACAGGGAGGGGGAGAGGAAGATGGAGAGGGAGAGGGAGAGGGAGAGAGAGGGGAGAGGGAGAGGAGAGAGAGGGGGAGAGGGAGAGGGAGAGAGAGGGGGAGAGGGAGTGGGAGAGGGAGGGGAGAGGGAGATGGAGAGAGAGAGAGGGAGGGAAAGGCAAATGTTTTTCTTTCTTTCGATTTGTTTTCTACACAAAGAAGGAGGAGGGACTAGAGAACATACAGAGAGCGTGAACAAAAGCTGATTGAACGGAGAACATAAAATATAAACAAAGAAGAAAACCAACCAACTTTATTTACAGATATATCCGTATGATTTAATGCAATATAAGATCTCTTACTTTTCACATGAATGCCAACAAATCGACAAGAACGATATATTCACTCGCGAAAACCGGTTCGAATACATGAAAAAAAAATGAAAATGTCATCACAAAGAGCAACGTCATAATTGCGTGGTTATGAAAGAGATACACAGGCACTGGTAGTATGTTATTGTTATCAAAGGTATAAAGAAAATGAGTAGAAAAATAAACCACAAAATTGTTAATACCCAACTCATCTTGCTACAAACGAAACCTCTAATATCAGCCATTAAAATATATCGAAGCAAATTACACCAATGAATAGCATGCTACAGAAAATGATACAAAATTGCAGTTCACGACAAGGTATAAGTTTTTCTCGTATACTATAATGAATATAAAACAACATGATTTAAAGAGTGGACAATGCAGACCATAAATCAATTAATTATACCGATTGTTAATAATCTTCAAAATTATTACAAGGCTTCGCCAATGATACTTCAACACTTTTTATCTAGCTATTCCTAAATATAATCATTCGCAAGGTTAATCGTACATTTCATGTCCATGAAGAAAAAGAAGTTTTAGAAGCGTGTGCACCAGAGACACTTGATCAAAACTTCTGAGTCAAACGAGACAGAGTGAGAGAAGAGAGAGAGAGAGAGGTAGAGACAAAGAGACGGGGATACAGAGACAGAAAAAAAGGAGAAAAGCCAGAATAAAGCAATTCGCGTTCGAGCATGTGCGTGTGTGTTTTAGAAAATAAAAAAACGGAGAGAGAAGAAACTGAGAAAACTGAAACCAACGTCCGTGATAAAAGTTTACAAGCATGGCCATGAAAACATAGGCAAAGAAAAAATACCATCGCAGATATTGTATCAAATGTAACTATATAATATTACAACCAAAGCGTCAATGTAAGAATATGAAAATAAAACTGGAGCAAGTTTAATGCCGTGCGAGTGCTCTGCATTTTACGTTTTGTGCGCCGATGTCAATATAAAATAAAAATCATATAAAGCGTAATGAGTACAAAACACCCGATTAAGATAGCACACCGTCTACAATCCAAAGCTGAAAAATATAATATTTTTGTTTTACCTCCGTGTGAAAGAAATTACGTATGAAGCACACAAAATACTAAATAAAAATCAAACGGACATGCACGAGATATAATCACCTTTCTTATATACGCATGCCAGTGCGATAGCAAACAAAATAGCACTTTTTTCTTTCTCGAGCTCGATGTATTGAAAGTTGAGTTGATAAACACATTCTGGGCAAGATAACATGCAGCTTAAGAAATACACGACTTAATTTAAGAGAAATACATACAATTTGTAAAACAATGGTGCAAGAGAAAGAAGCCAAACGTAAGAATTAAACTGAATGAGAATAAGAAATAAAATCTCACGATTACCAAAAAATGTAAAGTTTCACGCCCAAATCTGCTCACACAATCTTCCGTTTTCACCGAAGAGAAATCATGAAGAATTATCTCATAATGCTTTTGAATAACTTCCACTTCTAATTCGTATCGTCACTAACAATGTTAGAATAACATTTTATGTTCGGTACAAAATGTTTTGTACAGATTTATCATTGTTACAAAATCAGAATTGACAATTACTGAAGGCAAAGTAAATATAAAACATTTCACTCCGCATTTGATAAACATTTGCCGACCACACCCTTCCTCCTTACATAACGAAGGAAATGCCATTGTTAATTGGACACTTATTGTACAGAATTATAAATTGCTCATAATATGATGCAATACGACGTTACAAATATAATATACATATACAAAAGTTACATAAATATTTCCATTAACGTAAACAAGATATATATGTAAATACAACTTATATTTGATACAAGTTTAGTGATCGTAATGTCAATAACAGTCAAAGTGTTTCATTAATATATGTTTTTTTACCGCAATGGAAAGAAAAATATTGAATACATGGACTGTAAAAATTTCAGTCACATGACTAACAAATTTCTTAATGCAAATGCTTGTAAACGCCATCTATGTCGACTGAGAGAAAGTGTTATTGACAATTATTTTGACGAAGTACATAAATATCATCTCCTTATTCTAAATTTATGTAATCGCTACAAGAATTCACAATGTTTTAATGAAGTTAGATAAGCCAACATTTAATAGCTCACTGACAAATTGATACTATGCATGTTCCCCACAAGGGAATAAACGTAGAGGGCAGTATCGCAGCAAGAAATATAAACCAGCGATGCAAACAATCAAATTATGCTAAAAATATATAATATCGAGGCATGTGCTACAACATACTCATAATGTGAAGTATTATGCTGAAGTACGGTACTTTTGTTTTCGACAATCAGTCGGGAATTTGAACGATTAATCATCCTCCTACTGACATCTTATTAAAACTCATATGAAACAATTCGTTTATGAGAGCGCAGAGAAGTCCCTGGGTCATTTATATTTATTCACATGCCACACTGCATGACGACTGTTTCTCATGATCACTGTTTTGCATGATTATTGTATTTCAAGCCCATTTGCAACATTTTCTTCTGCACAGAAAATAAGTAAAAATCTTACTATAGGGGCGGAATGGGAATGAAATTTTCTGGGGATTTTCGATGCGACCGATCAATTCCGAACCTGTAAGAAAGATATATATATACCAACCGGACCTCAGATCGCTAACCGACTGGCCACTGAGTACAAATACCGAGCGGCCCGTACGTGATGGTAGTCGAGAGGGAGGGAGGGGGGGGGGGGGGGGGGGTCTGCACCTGCTTCAAATAATCAATCAACTTATCTAATTCGACGAAGGGCTCCTAACAAAGCATTACATGTGGATGTCTGTGGATTAGTGCTAACAACAGACTGTTAATGATTCAGAGTGAATCGCATTGTGCTAATCTGTTACCAATGATAGTTTTCTTAACACGTCCTCGAGAATTAATGTAATCTATCGATGAGGCATCATAATGATATAAAAAGATTAAAGGGATAATCGGGAATTTTTATGTCAGTCTGAGGGATGTAGAGACATTCCTCGGATATACGATTCTGAGAATTGCTGGAAATTTGTTAAAAAGAATTTTGTCATTCTTTTTTTATTACAAGGCTTGTGTGAATATATTTTCCGAATATATACGAATCAGAAGTGCTGCAAACGTAACAGCTTATCTCAAATCCTCCATTATTGATTACACGGTGGGTCGAGAAACATTCTTGAAATGCAATTCTCATTTATTGTACAAATGCGAAACCCATGTCCTAAACCATTACAAGTCGTTACGAATTCCATACGAAAGAATGTACAAACGATAGAATATCACATAACTCGTAAACCATTCATGATTCAAACAAATTAACTCTCCTTTAAAGCAAATTTGAATGAGGCCTCGTGGCTTAATTCAGTCTGTCGCGTGAAACTTCACACTCATCCCCTCTCTCTCTCTCTGGCAATTAATTAGGATATGATCAATCTCTATGATGTAATTCATTTCACAAATTGCGCCTTTCCTGCGCATTAGCGGAACATTCATAGGAGCAATATCCGTGAAGGTTTTAACACCTATAAGACGACAGTTATTCTTAGAATCGCAGCAGTTCGTGTCTTTCCTCCATGTCACCAACCCCTCATCCGTTGATAGAAATCTCACTTTCTGACTCAGTTGACTTGGAAATCTCCCCCCTCTCATGTAATATATACCGATACAGTTGTCCTTATGATGTAATTAAAATGGATAGAAGCGTTACAGCTCCTAAAGCTTTATCAACAATATTCAAACATTAGCCAATGGCCACAATATCAATTTATAATAAAGTAATAAATACCATACACTTAATCTTTCGCAACATACGGCTCTTAAGTTCCAATCATTCATTATTTTCTGTCTGAAAGAAAGGTGCCTTTGCAACGTTTCTTGTAGAGATACGTTTCAGATTGTGACAACAACATAGTATCGAAATAAGGTCATGGCTATGATTCAATTTCTGTTGCTTCTTTGTCAGATCTCAGTTAAGCTGACTGTGAATGTTAATTAATCGTCCGATCTTCAAATTTAAATGCTTTCAAGGTATCAATAAAATGGAGCAAATACACATCCTTATTATTTTGTTTAACCATCCTCTCATTGCTCTTTCAGTGACGAGATATAGGCGATAGAGACGATTTCCCGCGATACAGGTTTAATTATAATTTGTATGCTTTCATTTGAAGCCGTCACACGTCTGCAAACCCAATCAAATGGGCTGGAGTCTTACAATGTATTTGGAAGTACAATTCTTTACATTGCAGTGTCCTCTTCGCCACCATTTTTATCATTGGACTCTTCACTTTTCTCTTGGCTCTGGATTCGTTCATCTACAATGACGGGTTCCACGTATCCCACGAGATTCACGGACTCACTCGGAGCAGAAAGCTTTCTTTCTTCTACAATGGCGGGTTCCACGGGTTCCACGGGTTCCACGGGTTCCACGGGTTCCACGGATTCGCTCGATGTCACAGGTTTGTCATCTTGCGCTACTTCATCGGATGTCGGTATCTTGTTTTCAGGTACGTCGTCGACTTGTTCGGAATTACCGTCGGGAGTCTGCTCTGCAGAACTGCTTTCTACATCTGGTACCTTCTCAGTCTGGTCTTGTGTCTCGATCTCAGTTGCCGATGTTTCTTCAGTAGCTGGTGTTTCCCCTGCTTCGCCTGAATTGGACTGCGCGGGTGTCTTGTTTTCAGGTACGTCGTCGATTTTTTCGGAGGGAACGTCGGGAGTCTGCTCTGCAGAACTGCTTTCTACATCTGGTACCTTCTCAGCCTGGTCTTGTGTCTTCTCGTTCTCAGTTGCCGATGCCTCTTCAGTGGCTGGTGTTTCCCCTGCTTCGCCGGAATCGGACTGCGCGGGTGTCTTGTTATCAGGTATGTCGTCGACTTGTTCGGACGGTTCGTCGGGAGTCTGCTCTGCAGAACTACTTTCTACATCTGGTACCTTCTCAGCCTGGTCTTGTGTCTTCTCGTTCTCAGTTGCGGACGTTTCTTCAGTAGCTGGTGTTTCCCCTGCTTCGCCTGAATCGGACTGCACGGGTTCGGCCGTGACAGAAACTTCCTCAGTTGACTCGTCGGCTTGTTTTGGAGACTCTGGACTGCATACCTCACTCGGTTTCGTGTCCTCTGTAGCAACTACTTCTTGCTGGGTATCCTCTGAGTTTGTGACAGATTGTTCACCTGCTGCACTTGATTCATCAACGGCGTCACTTTCTGTTTCAATGTCTTGAGTGTCCGTGCTAATTTCTACTTGATTACTATCCTCTGTCGATGACTTGTTTTCTAGCTCTACTTCTACCTCTTCACCATTTTGCTCAGAGGAACATACTACACTATCTCCTGTCTCGACTGTTCTTTCATCCATTTGCTCGGTCGCATCTTTAGATTCCGTTGCCTCACTTTCTTGTTGAGGTTCTTCAAAACCTGGAGGCATACGCGGTTGAACCTCCGTCGCGCCCTCTGCGAGCTCAACGGTCTCATCTTCTGCATCAATAGGTCCGGCGGCAAAGTCCTGTGTCTCTTTCGGTGCTGCGCTTGTTGAATCCTCAGCGCTGACATCATTGACGGGTGGACTTTCAACGGGTTGTTCATTCTCTTTGTCCTTTGTATCCTCTACAGTTTCACTTAGCTCGTCGCTAGGTTTTTCACTTTGAGCGACTTCTTCAACGACATTGTCTGTAGACTCTTTTGAAACAGCAACACCATCGTCACCCTCGACTCTTGCGGTATTCTCTGCTTCAGGAGTTTCATCAGCGTCACCTTTTGGTGAATCGTTGTCGACATTTGCTGGTAGCCCGTTCTCCTGGACGGCTTCCGTCGCGCCTCCATTAGTGGAATTTTCATCTGAAGCAATTTCCTTGGCGGCACCCTCTACACCAGTCTTCACTTCTTCACTTTGCCCATTCTCTATCTTTTCCACGGTGCTCTCTCCATTGTCCAATTTAGTCTCCTCCGCGGTCGACTCATCGACATGGTTATCCTTGTTCTCTCCATTCGTCTTTACTTCTGCATCTCCGTTCGTCTTGGCTTCACCGTTTTCCTTCTTCTCGCCCTCCTCCTCGAACGCCTCGTCTTCGAGGCTGCCTTCCGCGCTCACCATGACGAACCCGGGATCGCCTCCCTCCTGGATAGCCTTGGCTAACTGCTCCAGCTCCTTAGGAGGGATCTCGAATAGCATGGACGATGTTCTTGACCGACGCTCCTTGACCGTGATGATGGCTTTGTTGAGGCGCTCGCAGATGGCTTCTACGAGCGGTTTGGCGTTCGGACTGTGAAACAGGTACTCGCCTTCGCCTTGCGGACTCCGACTGAAAAACACACACAAAAGAATAGATATGAAATGATGAAACAAAGAAAAGACTTAGACAGTGTGATGGTTATAAAGAAAAATAAGACTCTGCACCGTATTCACAAAGAGACCCCCCCCCCCCCGAAAAAGCGTTTTATCGCAACATAAACGTTTTCAAGTTACGAATAAAACATCGGGCTCTCGTTAAATAAGCTGAAACAAGCGTGCTACTGTCTAAAAGTAATTTACATCATGCAATCAACTCATTTCTAGTTATCATTACTTTTACAGAGAGTGAGATAATAACGTGGGGAGTGTGGAGAGTAGGGACGGAATGGGTGGGACAAAGAAAACATGCTGAATACAATGGAGATGAACAGACGATCATCAAAATGACGGCTCATCGAAAGGATGTGTTGGTGAACAAGAGGTAAATATGATAAGATTCCTGTTTAGCTGACCAGTAAATGGCTACGCCCTGTGGTAATAATTAGCTTGGATCGGCTACTTTAGTCAAATTCTCTTGAGCTTTTGCTCTAGACTGATTTTTTTTAAACAGTTTGATGGTTCCAGCAGGTCTCTAGAATCCATGTAAGCACACAGTCAAATAGAAGAAGAAGAAGAAGAAGAAGAAGAAAATGATGATGAAGATGATGAGGATGAAGATGGTGATGATGACGAATAATAATAAGAAGAATACTCACTTGCTGATCTGCAGACAGGCGATCTTTTCCAGGTCTTGCGGTGGTCCTTTGCTGGGCAGCATGAACCTCTTCATGTGTCTCAGATCCCACTCAATGACCTTCTCCCCAGTAAGGACGTTGTGTAGGGCTACTGTAAGACGGGCCACACCGGCGAGGTATGTCCCGGATAGATTCAGCCGTTCGGAATCCTTGTTGGGCACTACGGTGACACGGATCACATCTGGGTAACATAGAAAAAAGATATGCCAACAAGTTCCAAAATAGATTGTATCACTTCTCAACATACCACACAAGATAACACTCTTGTATGCCATAATTAACATCTGAAGAAGATATCATGAGAGAACTCGACAGGCATACGATCTTTACGGAGTAGACGAGACGGTGCTTACAAATCTAATCTTTGTTTTAAATAGGTGACTATGAACGAACAGCACATGCCGAATAATTGTCGACAGGGAACTTTCTCGCACCTAGACATGTTTTTACTTTTTATAACGACTGCGTGGTGAGCTAATCCATATACTTTAAAACAAATTATTGCCAAATCCAAAAGCATATCTTGACACAGTTTCATTTCTAGCAATATTATGAGGATTTTCTAGCTCTTTGAGATTTCCACGTAGTAGTACTTGTCACTTATGCTATGGTCACAGAGGTTTGTACGAACGATAATTTCGTACGAATCTCCCTGTTTTTCCATTGTCTTCCCGAATTTCCACTGTCTGAAAATCGTTCGTACGGCGTCCGTAGCAGTTCGTAATGGCATGTATGACAGAGGCTTTAGATTCATCACTTGGATTACTATAATCGACTCACCTGTGCCACATTCTTGGAGGGTCGTGAGTTCCTTTGTCTGGGACGCAGGCAACAACAGTTTCCTGAAGATCTCGATCCATTCCTGCGTTTCGGTCTCGCTGTCACCAGCCAGAGTCAGGGCAACGACGGACCCCTTGACGAACTCGAAGGCCCTGGGCTGGCTCTTGGAGATGACCCTCTTGATGTGGGTGATGCCTTCGAGCAGGAGACTGGTCACTGTCTTGTTGACGGCTCCTTTCTCCAGGTACAGCTCCAGGAGGATGGAGGCTTGCTCCGAGCCCTTGGTGGCGTTTGGTCGAATCACAACCCATTTCCGCTTCCATGCCTTTAAAACAAAAGCAGAAAATAGAAAATAATTAAAGTTACAGGTTTTTTTCATAATGATTTTGATTATACAGTAGAGACAATTTGATTACAAAACATGATCAGAGAAGGTGGTCATTCATGTTGCCAACCAATTTCTTGATGTGGCAAATTAGGTCACAAGGTCATAAATGGTCATTGGTTGGTGCTGGCCAACCCTTTGAGGTTGGGGCAATGGGGCTTTTGACGTTGCAAGCATTTAACATGATAATTTTTAGTGTTATTTTTTTCCAGAGATCGACAGCAATCGTATGGACGACATTAAAATAACATTATTGACAAAAGTACAACACGCTTCTTCAATCCCCTCGTATAAAAGTTTATCTAATGATGTATTCATAGTACAATCATTCTAGGATTAGCAGTATCACTGAAACCAACGTGTCTGAATCACAGTCGGAGGTAAACAATACACAGATGTAATTTTACGCTGTGTTTATACGGTTTTTTATAACCATACAGGTCAGGTATTACTAATCTAATCCCTCTCCTTTACACGCCAAAAAATATACCGTATGGACAGCGAAGTGAGATGACAGTTCGCTGTCCATACGATGCGAGTTGTGCTAAAAACTTATAAGGAAAGGCGTGTATTCTTTCAAATCATAGACATCAAAATATGTTTCAAAGTATACCACATCGAGTCGGGTTCTAAATGACCGTAGAACCTTCGATTGTTTTCTATACAAGTTCAGATAATAGTCAGGCATGGAAAGAGATATATATTTATATTCTAAACGAGGGATCAACTCAACTCGGTGTACTTTAATAGGATGACTGTTTCACATTAGCTGTCTTATCAATGATATCCTGCTGTTAACATAGTGAGCTGCCGCTTATGTATACATCCGAGAAAAGTTGAGATTGGGGACTTGATCGCTCTAATTAAACAAAGGCAACCACCATCACGAGTTATCATAATCATGATCATCATGCTAGCATTATCATAACGACGAGAGAGACAAAGATGAGAGGCATTGTAAGTGGATAATTGGCTAATTATGTGGCACGAAAGGTGGTTTCTAAAGCATTGAGATGCATAAATAAATTGGCTTTTGATATGATATGATTTGATTTGCTAAAACGTTCAATACTGTATATCATGTTTTGACAGGGTAAATATAGATAAATTATGTACAACATATTTTTTATCACTTTGGGAACATTTCTACCAAAACACTGTCTAACATCGGCCTTTTCGCAAAGCATTTTAACTACATCATGGGACGAAGGGCATCTTGAAAGACACTGTTATGATAGGCCTCTGAACTAAACAATTCCGCTTCTTTCAAAGTTGTTCTAAAAGTCATATCATGATAAGTAATTGATTATGTATTCACACTAGATTGTTATAATATGGGTCATTCATTTGATATTAAATCTTAATCCCTATTGGGGTCGTTGTAACTTGTACATCATACAGAAAGGTATTCGGCACGGGAGTCTGTCTTGGTGAATATTTTTCAATAAAACCCATTATTCAGCATCTCATATGACTTCCTAAACAAAATGAAGGAGATAAATGGTGCTTAAAAAAACAACTAGACAACTGGTATAGGCCTAGAACTTAATCGCGTCGTGCTACCTGAAGATAGATTCATGGCTATAGCCCAACACCAAATAAAGATAACACGAATCAAAGATAACATAATTATATATTTGACAACAAACAATGAGTATTCATGTCGTTTATAGGAGTTTCGTAGCAAATTCATGGTGGATTTCAACGTTATTTGACCAGGCAATTAATCCAACGATAAGCGTTATTTGCAAGAATGTGGATAAAGCACGACCGGCTAACGCTTTAACTGATTAAAGCAAAATATAGACATATATAGAACGGTCATTTTTACCTATTTTCTCAAAATACCCTCATGACGTGTTAAACATTTATATCGCCAATCATTTCTCGGATTCTACATGCCTTATCCAATACTTCCTTTTATACTACATGTATACTGCAATATATCAAACAATTTTACAGCGTGTGTTTTCTATCATTCGTATGACATTAGTATTGGTGACCGAAACATAAAATGACAGTCATCTATAGCTACTCAAAATTCTCGAGAAATTGTAAGAGGGAAATAAACAGCTGCACATCTACCATCTGGAGTATTATTACTATACTTCTGTAGAGTCTACAGACACTAGTGAATAAAACGACCTACAAACCATATACCAATGCGAGACACGTTATACACGCACTTTAGTCTAAAAATATGTTTTTAAACGTGTTTTGTTAAAAATACTTCCCACGAAAATCCACAACTTTACCACTTCCCGTTATGCACTACCAAGCGTGTAAACAAACTGGTGACGATCATCAGGGTTTGAAAAGCCTGAATTAGAGGGTTGATCTTTCTATTTTGTACGGTGGTTTTCAATGGAATGTAGCTTATTGTTTTCGTCCTAAAAGGTATGTCAATTTTAATCTTGTAAATAACAATTCCAAGATAGTATAAAGCACTGTTAAAAGAAAGATTATTCATAGGCCTACATTATATCGGTAGTTTCAAATGATCAAATAGCCTAAAATGCTGCATTTGTTAACTGGTTCACTTTATTAATCTTGACAATATATCATATCTTATTTATTGGAAACAAATCGTAACCAAACCACAACTTCAAGTGTGTACACGCGGGCAATTTTCTTTTGATTCCACTTGATAATAAAATTGCAGCATCGAGCTTGGAAGCATACGCGTCTGTAATAACAGTATTAAACTTCTGTATATTGTTGCCCTAAATAATGCATGGAAAAACCCCGCATGATATTCCTCTACACAATAAACGAATAACCCCGACCATGAAACATGACACCACCCCACCCTTTAATATATACGGGTTGTGTGTTTTCCGGAAATAAGGATATGTTCTAAATCTAATATCAGTTTTATTCATGGTTCAACAAAGTATATAGCTTTACTACCGATTGCATTGTTTGTAAGAATAGCGTGAACTTTATTGAGCTTAGATTTATCTATTTACAAGTGGCGCATCTTGGTGGTATTTCTTTTCTATTTACACGCTGATAACATTGGTTACAAATGCCCACGTTCACAAGAATTGTTACCTTGACCAATACAGACCAATATGATGAGGTTTTAATTTGAATTGCTTTTTGGTGATAATTGAAAAATATTGACCAAAAGCTACATGCGGTCAATGACGCAGTTATGTGGGTCAAAAGACAACGGTCAAAATGTATATTGTTCACTAAGTTAATTTACCGGAGTTCTTATGTTGTTTGTTGTCCGCATGACGTGGGTTATTTATTTCGTTTGCCATTGTACAGAATGTAGGCCTATACACAAACAGCTCAAATAATTATCAAGAAGACTGGATATTTGAAAGTGACTTTCAAAGAGATCTTAAAGGTACTATGTCCCATTTGCAGGCCAAAAAAATGAAAAGTTAAATTCCAACTGCATTTGAAAGATAATACTAATTTAGAACTTCCCTAAAAAAGTTGGGGCTTGAAAATGTCTTCAAGTGGGAAAATAACGACTATTAGTTGTCAAATCGACTTTAGGGCTATAGAGCCCAAAAGTAATAGTCTTGATTTTCAGACAATTGTACCGAATGGTCATACGTTTTATGCTGCGCAAAGATTCAATCAGTTTAATCTTGGCCATCACAAGAAGTGGGTTATTGATGTAGACAAATGCTCATGTACCCTTTAAAACTCTTTTCATGGATGTTATTACCAAAGAAGAAAAAAAAGCCAGTCAGTCACTCAATAGTGTCTGACAGTTAAGTCTAGCAAGTTAACGGGTTTCCTTGCATAATTTGAATATGAGGACACTGCTAACGTTTAAATTTCACAGATAGGACATACATGACATATTCATAATTCCTGCAAAGTTCTACAGCATTTGAGGTTGGCTGAAAAAGGGACATAGTACCTTTAACAGGAGGGGAAAGAAATGTAAACTTATTAAGAGATGGATACGGATTGGGGGCAGGAGGGGGAGGAGGGGAGGAGGGGGAGGAGGGGAGGAGGGGGAGGAGGGGAGGACGGGAGGACGGGGAGGGGGAGGGGAGGAGGAGAGGAGGGGGAGGGGAGGAGGGGGTGGGGAGGAGGAGGACGACAAGTGTGTGAAGTACATGTGGTTAATAAGAAATATGGCAAGGCTTTTTCAGTTCATGAGTAGGATTGAAACAAAACCATATAAGCACCATTGCTCCACTGCTATCATCCCCTTGACCCCTCTCTGACCACTCTTCAAAAGTGAAAGAGCAATGCCCATGTACTGTATACAACGCTTAAAACAACCCGTGTATACTTCTATACCAGCACAACACATAATATTCATGCACCCGCATAGCCCAAAATTATTCACGTACGCTCAAACCCCACGGATAAACAAACCTACTTGACCCTGTAACAATACACCCTATGATCTTTTGTCAAAACCCTTAACTGAAATGACTCGACGGGATACAATGTTTGGGGTCGTGACCACCCTTTCTTTCTTTTTTTTCAGACTGAGGAGAACTTGGTCCCTCCAGAGATGGATCTATGCAGCGAGTGCACGAAGATGACACGACGCATTCCATAACTATAACATTCGTGCGCCAGTCAAAACAAGTTACCCCAGACTTCCAAACAAAGTTGCGAAACAGGAAAAGAAGAAATAAACATGAGACAGTACACTTTTCTAATGGAACTGAATTTAAATTCATCAACCAATTTTGTCTTCTACAACTGGGTCGTTATTGCCCATTAGCATTAAAGACCTACTTTCCTATTCTATGAAACTTTGGTATCAAAATTGGAATTTGAAAGTATATATTATTATTCATGTATGTAGGTAGGAAATTATTATTTTCCCAGACATTATTCATATCGGGAAATTCAGGAAGATTGTTTATAATACAAGTTCACAATATCGGGAAGTAACTACGCGTATTCTAAAATGACATGCATGTAGAAGGGCCAGTCTTGTATAGGCTACC